AGGCCCACGCACACACTGCGAACTGTTGACCGCGCGGGTTAATTGCATCAAAATCTGCACAGTTCGGTGAAAGCATTTCCCTGGCTCTTCAGCTCTTCACCTGCTCATCTCGTCACCTCCTAACCCCCCCCACCCGTTCCAATGTTCTTTTGGCTTTTGACTTGCCCCGGGCCTTACGTAGTGTCCGCAGGATGGAACTTTCAACACGATGGCATAACAGCGTTAAGTCCAGCATCTCGCTGTCATCATCATAATCATCTCCTGCAGGCTGCTGGTTCCGGGAATCAAAGAGCGGGATTGTGGCCTCAACAGCGGATGATGGCCTGGCTGACCCAGGGGGAATGCGTCATAGATTGAAGATGATAATGCAGTGGGCTTTTAGGCCCCTCTTCCTTTAACTAGTTAAACGGGTATAGGACACTCCTATGTATCATGAAGGAAATCCATATAAGATAAATTATACGCTAGGCTAACTGTTCCTTAAAATCACTTGTCATTTTTTGTGTCTAAAAGTATGCAACAATATAGTTCAAACTCAGAAGTACAACGAATTTATTTAAAAAGACGACAATTCTTATTAACTGCACACTTTTAAATGATAAATAAAATAATATTTTAAAGTGATTTTAAAACCAAGTAATTTGTGTGGTACCCCTACTTTCTATATTTTGTTAAAACTTTTAAAATTCTTATAAAGGTGTCTAAAAGTATGCAGTGAATAAAAATGTTGAGCAAACGGATTACAACATAATAACTTACATCCAACGATTTTTTAATCCCTAATTGGTTATACAATTTATTTATTTCTCTCCTGTTTAATTTAAATTTAAAATGAATTTAATTCATCATGTGTTTACCCATTACTCTGCCCTTTCCTGTTCACATACTCACCGTTTTCCTGACCTTTACCGAGAATAATGAATCTAGAAATTTCTAGGAATGAAAATGAGTTACGGTTCCGAAGAATTGTTCACTGAATTTCAGAACGATAAAATCCATAAGTGCTATCTCTTTAATGAAAAACCCTACAGTTCCACTTCATATGTGTACCAAGGCACCGAGAGATATGGCCACGATTTGATTAATTAACAATTTCCCTGACTGCCTGGCTTGTGCTGAGCATTAATGGGTCTTGTCTAATTGATTTCATCCATACTGACTAGCTCTTCCTCATTTGCGGCCTGTGAATGCGGACAAATGTTGGTCGGCGAGCATTCATTGCGTATACGTAATGGGTGTTTGAATAATTTAATGGCTGGCCAGCGCAAAAGGTCAGAGGTCTTGGCCTTGATACTTTTAAAGCATACATATATGGACGCGCCATTTATTAAGGCGTCAACTGGTGTGTGTGGGCCAATTTTCAATTAAGAACAGCCGAGCAGTGGGGAAAATGCCACGAGAAAGTCAAGAGACCAAGTCGAAAGGGGTTAAGGAAAAATGAATTAAATTAAAATATGAATTGCACAACGAGAGGAGGCAGGAAGATCGAGCGATTAAACACGCCGAGGAATCGTTGTCCTTCCGTTGTTAATGACATGAAAAGGATGAAGCTGCCGGCCGTCGGAGCTCTTAACTTTCATCTGGCGACTTGCGACGCCTGCAACTGACATTGATAGGGCCCAGTGGAAAGCCAACAAGCAATTAAAGGCCATCTACCATCCACCATCTTTCATCTTTCCATCGAATTGGTATGGTTGGTATGGGGGGCTGCTTGGAGGTGAGAAATGCCAGCTGTTTTATCCCATCATCCCAGTCAGCTGCATCGACTGGCTTTCCCCTGGCTCCACGCTTACAAAAGAAACTTAATTGTTTTTCCCTTTAAGCTTTCAAGCGAGTGCTTGCATTAAGAGCTGTTAATTGCTAAATGGTCGGATAGCTATGCTAATGGCCATTGCCTAAATCCGCCTGACTAATCAATAATTTATCAATTTAAATGAGCTGCAGGATAAAAAGAATGAAATCAATTAAAAGCCATCTTACGCATTTGGTGTCAAAGTAATGGGAAAAGCATCAAACGAAATTAAGACAGTAAAGATTTAATTGAATTTTAATGGCGCACTATTTAACTAACCTTTAAATTTTGAAAAAAATGGGAAATTATTTATTTATTAATGGTGTCCTAAGTCTTTAAGTTATCAAGAAAATTCTTACAACATTGAAATAAAATATTGTTAAAATACCTTATAATATAAAATGTAAATTTTTGGATATCTGGTTAAAAAATTATTAATTTATGATAATCAACAAAATGACTTTGACATGCATTTTCGAATGGAGAGAAATTGGATATTGCAATTTTCACTATCTATTTAACATAATTAAATAGCAAATCACCTTTAACATAAAGTAGCCCTGACATTTTTTTCTGTGTATCATCTGGTATCAACTAGCTTGATGCCACTGGCCGTTTAATACTCGTCGCAGAAGTTTTCCCGACGGTGGGGAAGTGACATTGCGAGTCGCCTCCAGGTTTTCACGGTCTGCGCTTCCAGTTCGCCAACTCCTGGTGTGACGCTCATTAATTGGATGTGTTGCAGTGGCCAGTGGCATTTCATTTGACTTGATCTCATATCCACTGGCAGTTGGCCACTTCGACTGATGGCCCAATCCAAGACCAAGACCATGTCTAAGTTTGGGCGAATATGGATAGCTGACATGGCTTTCTCGTTTCCATTCCCGTGCACTGGCTGGTCAACAAGCTCTTGGCAGCAGAAGCATTCATTATGGTTTGTTTCCTTTGGCAGCACCGACTTGACTTGACTCGGATTGGTTTAATTCGGTTTCGGCTTGACTGGATACTGCTAGAGGAGCCTGGCATTTATTATGTTGGCCCCAAGGACACAGAAAACAGGCAACGTCTGCAGGCAACACGCCCACAAAAATGCTTGTGTTTGTGTGCCCGGCACACAAAGTGTCATAAATTAATGCCGTGTGGGTGTGGTGTTTGCTGCCTTTTGTTCCTTCTGCTGATTGTGTGTTGCAAAAATTGTCAACATTATTTCATTCTCAGCTGCATTGAAGTATAAAATAAATTAACAAATATTTACAGCAGGCATTGCTTGCAGAATTTATTTCTGGCAAAGCTTTAAGAATTGATTTATAAGCCTGCGGCAAAGTAATTTATTTTAAACGTGTGCGAATGTGCAAATTTCATAAAAGCTGCATTGAAGGGGAGCCATTTTGATAAATTTTAACAGCTGCCGATTTCTCAATGTCACGTTAACTTTTGTTATTGAGTATATTGGAGTTGCGGAATATCCTTTAGGTCGACAAAACAAATTCGACAAGTTTTCAAGAACCAGATGTCGGTCGAAAAATTAACCTCACATTGAGAAAGGAATTTGTCTTTTGAACAATTTACTTTAAGTTAACTTGACAGCTTCTAAACTAAAACCTACATGACATTAAAAATGGACTAAATGATTTATCTAACAAAAATTAGTTAAACCTAACCAGATATTGAGAAATCGGACTTGATAAAAAATTATTGGGAAATATTTGCAGTAGATACTTAAAGACCATAAGATAGCATTTATGGAACATTAAACATGCTAAATTTTGGGAAAATCCTCATTTAAACTACCATGAACAGATACCGCGAACTCATAGAATTTGATATGTATATATGAGAAAACGGAATGCAGGACTGACTTGAGTGGATATCTCGAGGATGCGCATGGTGCTCCAGTGGAATCCTGATGCCGCTGACAGCGGGCCTTACATCCTGACTCTCTGATGAACCGTGGCCAAATGCTTCAGACGGCCAACAACTGCGGCCAGAAATCCTTGAAACGATTTTATTCCTTTGACTTTGGCTCGGCTGGGCTCTTGTCTTGGCGAATACCTCGGGGATACTTGAATACTTGAATAGTCAGGAACCGCGATAAAGGAGTGGTTATTACACTGCCGCTTCATCAAGCGCACTGCAATTTGGGCTACCCATTTTCGAGAAGGGGGGAGGTCGTAACTCGAAATTAATTCGTTTGACAGCACCAAGGCTGCATTTATTTCGATATTTATGGTCGGCTCTTTTTTCACTCACTGTGCCGCGTAATTGCGGCAAATCCTTTGCTGACATACACACACACACCCAGCGCATTGTGCTTTCAATTGTTACATCACGAATTTGTTTGTTAAGCCTCGCCCTAAGCTCGCTGCCACGCCCCTCCCGCCCCTCGATGGCTGACAAACAAAATAAAAAACGTTCTGTTCTGTTTGTCACAACGATATGTAAAATGCGTGGCTTATCCGGATTACCGAATGCTGGAGCGCACAAACATTAGCACAATTCTCTTTTTATTTGGATTTTTTTGTATTTTTGTGATGGAAGGGCACCTAAAATGGCAGAGCTAAATTTAAATATATCAAAGTTTATATTGGAACACTTTAATAATTATATCAAATGGATTTCTACAAAAATCTTTCTTTAGAACACAAAAGGTCTATAAAAATATATGGAAAAGGAGAAAATAAGTTGAGGTAAAATATTATTAATATAATTATCAGTCAACGCACAGGGCTATTTTATGAAGGAAAGCCCTTTAAAAATTCCCAATCGTTTGGCCAATTTGTCTTTTTTTATTACTTAACTGTGTGACAATCCTAACAATGAGCTCGTTTTTTGCTGAGACGAAGATAGAGAAGCTATCCTCTGCTCAGAAAAGTTATTAGATGAATTACCACAATAATATATACAACACATAAATAATTTCTATTCTTTCTATCCAAGTTTTGGGGTATTTGTTCAAAGTGTCGGTTGAGAGCGTCGAAAAACCCTCAATTCAGGCAATAGACTCCGGGGAGACAAATATTTATTGCCCTGTTGAACTCCCAGAATATTTCCAGCCCAGGCTTAACTTGGCCATTACTCTTTTTTGCTCCAGTTTGTCAGAGCCACTTTGCTCTAGTTTGTGAGAAGTGGCCCTTGAGCAATGGGTCTCATTAATTCAGTTGTTTGGAAAGGGAAAAGGGAAAACTAAACTGGTTTATTTTTTGCTCGTTTTATTGAAGTTTATTACTAAAAATTTAAATTAAAATTTTATTGGAAATACATATACCATATACATACAATTATTATTAGTGTTGTAATTTCAATTGGAATTTTCTCGTTTCTCGATTTGTTTTCGATGAGAGTGTAAAAATAAATGATTGCATTAAATGTGGCCAAAGCAGACAGATCGCTCGACATTTTAGCTGGCAAAATGTCAGAGAAAATTTGTGGTTATAATATAATTAAATGAAAATCCGATTTACTCATTTTGTTATGTGGGGGATTTTAATCATATGCAAATTATTCAAATGTGAGCTTTAAATACGAGTACACAAGCTGCTTTGGTTTTGAGGAACTAACATTTAACATTTGTATGTGTTTAATCGCTTCTCTTTTTGCATATTTCACACGTTTTTTTGCTTTAATATAGTGAAAGCCCTTAGACCTAAACTCTAGGTTTTTGTTTTTAGGTATATATCGTATGAATTGTTCATCATATATGTTTATAAGTATTAATCGTTCAAAATATTATTATTATAAATAATTAAAAATGGAATCGCATAAGTGCTCTATAAGAAAATCGTTAAGAACTTTCATGGTAATTCACTTTTGTTCACTAAACCTCGATAATTCTAAGTAATTCTATTAATTAGTTGATTACCTACGTTACGCCGAATGGTTTCTATCTGAGCTAGATTTTGCTACAAGTATTTTATTCGTGAGTATCAATCGATTTATATCATTGCGTTGTTTTAGTTTTAATATTTAATTTAGAATCTCATGAACAGTGGAGTGAAAACGTCTTCGATTTTCTTTAGTGTTCGCCTCTATTATCATAATTCGTACGACCTTAAGCTTACTTTCACAATTGTATTTAACAAACATTAGTTTTGTTTCTTTTTCCAACGAAAAACAATATTTTGCTTAGTAGGCGCTATTAGCTTAAGAAACAACATATAATGGATAGACTTCCAGCAAATATTACTGTTCCAAAGTGCAAAGTCACAGACCCCAAAATAAACTCACTGTGACTTTGACATTTGCGTAATATTTGTGTGTTCTATATGCAAATTATAAAACAAACAACTATCTCAAGCTTATCTTGAAGACTGTTTTATCAAGAGTCGCAGGATTCGGGATCCTAAGTAATTAATTTCTACTTTCGTTATTTAACCTTAGGTATACTAAAATTAGTATGTTTATGAAATGCATCCAATACGAACTCGGCGATATTGATTTATTTTTGACATCTCAATGTGATTGCGATTTCTTATGTACTTTTGACAGCTGGCATAACTTAAATTTAATCTCTTTTTGGTTTATTTTATTAATGCGATTGTTTTTCTATATTTTTTTAACACGATTTTAATAGTAATTTGGCATTGCAATTGTTAATTCTTGTGAATATGATTGTTTAAGCTTTCGTTATCATTTACCAACACTATTTGTGTTTTTTTTTGGGAAGACAGTCAGAAATACAAAGCCTCAAAGTATTAACAGCAAACATGTTGGCAAAATAAATATAATTCATACGTGTATAATCCGAAATCGCATGAGTTTATAAAATACACAAAAAAACAGGCTCAAATGGTTAATTTTGTTTAACTTTGCGTTATCGCTTCTTAGTTTGATTAGGTCCCGTTCACAGAATTTTGTTTGTATTTTTAACAACTTTTTCCGAACATAAAATAAATGCTAACGATTGAAATTTTATACATTCTTCTTGCTGCAAAATAATAAACTAAAAAGTTAAAAGACTCATATAAAGATAAGTTGGTTCATCCACTTAACGTCGCGTATTCCAAAAATCAACGAAGGTGGGCCAGGCCATCGATAGGATGGGCAGGGTCAACAGGATGACGGAGTAGGCCAATTGGGTGCCGGAATTACAACCATCCTCGGTGCAGCAGTACGTTTGAGTCTCCCAAATTTCTAATCAAATTAAACAATCATGTTTCATAATTAGCTGAGGTCAATTAAATTAGTGCAGATTTGAAATTCAATTTATTTTGTGGTTTCTAACAATGCCAGCCAATTACATCGTTCATTTAGCATATGGTTAGCCCAAAGGCTAATAACCAAAACTCTACTCACCTTTTTCCTGACACTCTGTAGCACAATCACGTACGGTCGACAGCTCACTAACATATTTCTGAAAAAAGAGAAAAAGAGCACAAAATATATTATTACAATTTGTAAAATTGTGGCATTTGGATTCATATTCATGACAGCTTAATTAAATATCAACCGAGTCCAACTACATATGCACTGTCAGTATAATAAAAATCTGTTGGTCAACAGGGCGTATGAATGATTAACTTGCATGTGTGAATGCCTGTTATGGCTTTCGCAAACCAATATCAATAAAAATAATCAGGCCGACAAGTCGATTATATTGCATATATTGATGAGCATATAAAAAAGGAATTTGTGTCGATTTTAAAATATTAAATATGCAAATATTTCGTATTTATAGTCCATTTAATAACCGTTAAGGTTATAAATACGAAATGTATTTAAGGCGCCCACACCAACGGATTTTTTTATATAAATGGTTATGGCACGAAATTATATTATAATTTTCGAAATCAAATAGGATTATTCTTCAAAATGTTTATTGCATTCCATTAAAAATACTTGTCTCTAATTAAATTTTAATTTTACACATAAATGCAGTTATTGGTGAATTTAATTACTTGATAGCTGGCTAATAAAAAATACAAAGCTGTAACTTTCTTAAATACACGTAGAACTAAACTGCAGGAGGACCATAAACTTGAGGCAACCGCAAACAAAGCCACCAAGTTTATAGGTATAAACATAAACATTTTTACGACGTAATTCGGTTTTGAAAAAGCAGATTAAAAAGCACAAGAAACCTTTGTTTTGCTGGCCAAGTGTTTGCCATAAAGTTGGCTAGAGTCTTCGATATGGTGCCCATCACGATAAGTAGGTCGTAAGTAGGTTATCTCAACAGATTCGCTGACCCAAGTAGATTTCAATCAAACCCTAAAATAGCATTCCGCTTTGATGTCTAGGTAATTCTTGGCGAGAATGCTCTGAAGGAATTATTTATTTCACTCACACATTTTGGGGAGTTTTCGGAGTTTTGGTGGTCTAAACCACATTTGATGCTCTTTTAACGATGGCTTCGTGAGTTCAACCAATAAAAAACACATCGTACACAACGACTTCGTAAGTACTTGCAGGCCAAGTAACAAGGACAAGCTGCTTTTTAGCATATATAATATGTAGTTTGTAGTATATGGGTACTTGGTTCATATGGCTGGCATTAAAGTTTACGACAACATAAGCAGGGGACACGAACACAGAGAGATAGGCGAACCCAAGCCCCCATTTACTCTCGGGTAAATTGAAAAATGAGGCAACTCTGCAGCGCTTTGCGGCCCATTAGCCAAGTAATAAACATGTTCAATAATTACACTGGTGTGAGCAGAGTGTTGTTCCTTAGCCGCAGCTAACAACAATGCACCTGCCACCTGCAACACATAGCAACTAGCAACTAGCAACATGCAACCAACATTGCGCCCGGGGATAGGCAATACAAAACACGTGTTCACACCAGGAGGCCGCAAGAAACCAGGAAGCAGGATCAGAAGGAGCTGGATGGGGCAGGGGGTCAAGGGGGCACCAGCGGAAGGCAGTCAGCCGAGGCAGCTTATGGGGCACTTAAACCGCTTAATCGATTGAGCCGAGTGCCGCCGCTGCTGTGTGGTGATGGTGCCGCAACGGCAACGGCAACCATTCTGCCCATGTGCAACAATCCGAGTCCTGAACCCCGGCTAAGCCATTCCGCAGCACTTAACGACTTTGCGTGCTTATCGCCCGTTCGTAGCTGCAATTGCGATGCCAGGACATCTGCAGCTGACACTGTGGCACATCGGCTGCTCGTTGTTTATGTAACAGGTCCGATAGCGATAGTAACCGCTGTAATGGACCGCCCACCGCACTTTGCTACACGCAGCAAAAAAGATTACTCAAAGCTGACGCGATCTGATAAGAAATGATTTGTTTTGGATGCCAGTGCATTTTTTTTTATTTCATAGATATATTGTCTTAAAAATATACCAGGGGACTTCGCAAAAATATTCAATATGAACATGGCTTAAAGGACTGTTCAGTGGGAAACTCTTATTAGCGCCCGATTTCTCAATATCAAGTTAACTTGTTGTTCAATAACATTTTCTCCTCTAACATTATGTCAGGCTTATTTTATCTTGTTGTTTCAATAACATTTTGTACCCTAACATTATGTTAGGCTTTATCTGACTGGAAATCTAATTGAAGAAATGTTCCTGTTAAATTTGTCGGTTAACAGAACTGATAACAAAAGTAATCTTCTTTTTCAGACTGTTTAGACCAATTTCCCGTTAAAGTAAGTAATAATCGTAAGTTAATATAACATTATGAAATAAATTTTTTCTTGTAACAATGTTACGTTATAATATTAACATTAAGCCATTAGTTAAACGATTATTATAATTTTCTAAAAATGTTTATGAAAGCAGTTTTTCGGTTTCTCAGAACACTCTCTCTTTAAAAAAGATTCCATATTATTTGCCAAATTAAAAAAAGAACGTAAAAAACTATTTAAAAATTCTCAAATTTAAATAAAATTTTTGAATTTTATATTTATCTATTGTTTTAACCCTTTTTTTCAGTGCAATCCATTTATTAGCCTTCCTCTCTTGACCGAAAATGTTGTCTTATTAAAACGAGAAGACACCTAGCACATTACGGCAATCTACACGTCATCTAAACCTGCCCACCCTGAGTTTTCTTTGCCTGTGCATAATTTGTGCCGCTTATGTGCTCCATGGTTAGTAACCCCACAAACCCCGGGGGTTCCGAGGGGTAAGCTCATTATGTTATGCGATGCCACAGAATGCGTTTGCCCTGTCTGTCTAAAAGGGTTGGGGGTTAAGTAAAGCGGCTAATATAGATAATGTGGGGATAATCACTGGTAACAAACACAATGCTGACATAGGACAGACTATGATGAATGGAATTTCAAGCGTTGTGTGCCGCTATACATAAATGCAAAATATCATTGCTTATGCAATCACCGAAATTTCAGCAAACTTAATTTTCTATCAGTGAGTCACTTGCACAGATTTATGCATCTGGCCTAGTTTTTTGAGAAAATGAAATGCGAACCGAAAAAAAAGATTGGTAGGGACGGGTGGGCGTGGCTTTGGTCTGTCGAGCACGTCGGTCCAAATGCAGCTCGGCATGTTATTTGGTTGTTAGGGCAAAAGTTGGACCAAAGGAAAACACGAAAAACGTTGAGCAGAGCAATAATCTTGAGACAGCCGGGGAAAGTTCCTCCGCTGCCTGTGTGCTACTTTCACTTAAGCCAGTTATATCATCTCTTCTGCTTAGTTGTGATTTGAACAACCGTACAGCCCTACATCCCTACAACCACCCGTCAGTATTCCTTATAACCCAAACCCCAAGCCTAGACAACTCAAGCAGACAGCAACTGATGACGACGTTGATGATTTCAATTTTGCATGCGAGTGACAGCAAAATGAAGAAAAAGACCTCTAAAAAACTAAAAGACGCAAGTTGCACAAAAAAAGGGAGAAAAGTGTAATGACAGGAAAGTACTGCCATTGCAAAAAGGAGAAAAAATGGGAAAGCAGATTGGAGCAACATCTCAGTGATGGCTAGATAAATACACTTTTCTTTTCGACGGATTGCTAACTCATATTTTCAAATTTTTTCTCTTGAGTGGTTTGAAGATACTATTATAATACATTTTTAACCTAATCAGAAAAAGTTGGATGAAAAAACTACTTGATTCTTCTGACAAAAGATTTTTACATAGATCAAGGTTTTCTATGAGGTCTACATGGGTCCGATAAATATACAGTTTAAAGTGCATTAATATTATATATCATACTTTTATTTTACATAATATTTAATTGTTTCATATATCATATTACTTTAAGAAGTATTGATTTGTTTGAGTTACAATTTTAGAATATTCTTTGTGTTGTTATTTGCTGAACAAGTTAGCTAAAAAACCAAAAGATTTATAAGCTCATAAGGGAATCGACATTGATAACCCCTCAATTGAGTGGTAACCATTTCAGCAATAATATAATACCCACTTGAAGGGTATAAAAATGAAGATAGACGGGTGAGGGGCAATAAAACGAGCTACGACGTCATGAGTGGCAATGGCAACTTTGAACTAAGGATATGTGTGAGTGTGTGGGTGTATTGTATGTGTGTGTGTTTGAGTACAGACAGGTTGCAGGCATCGTCCCTTAGCCATTTATGAAAATTTCAAGTGTTCGGGGGCAGAGGACACGATGTCGGCCTCTTAATCTTGAGAGGGAAGACGATGATTTTCCTCAAATCATGTGAGCTCCTTGCATGTGCATGTGTCCTTAATGGCGGATGGTCTGGGGAAAGCTTTTCCCTATGCTTTCACTGGAATGGTGCACAATTTTTCACAATTTCATTGTGATAACTCAATTTTCTGGCTTCTTTGGTAATAACATAATAATGGCACCTCTGGAAATCACTTAAGGGGTTTTACCTATTTTGTTTGCAAATAGTTTTAAGATCTGTCGCCTTATTCTTTAACCCATCCTCGTTAATCTAGTAAGCTCCATAAATCCTTTCAACATTCCGTCATTAAAATCATCAACGACCCTGGTCACGAACTCGATTGCGAAATCCTCTCGAACATTTTTGCGACATTAATTACAGAGTCGTGACTTATCAAAATGGCAACACCATCTGCATTCAAATATCCAATACGGGAGATGTGCCATTAAAGTCGCTAAACAAATGAATTGTTCAAGAACACTTTAATTCGATTTCAAAATTAAATTTCGGGCGGACAATGAAAGAAAGTGAGAAGTGCAGTCATGTGAACGACAAAGAAAATCCAATGAGGCGCAAACAAAAAGGCAGATGATCGAGGAAAGTGCAATGTGAGACACTTTTTCTTTGGAAAGCGTAATCGAAAAGGGGAACAGAGCAACTTTCAGGTCTCATATGCATTTGCCAAACATCGCCTTCAATTATTCAGGTAAAACGGTGTTGTGACAGCCCCCTGCACCAAAAAAAAAAAAAAAAAAGAAACCTTTCGCTTCAGTTGCCACATTGAATGAG